AGTGCAGAAAAGTAAAATGTCAGTCATGTTGAACAAGGCCATAGGCCTGCTCAGCAAATGGTGCTACTCTGTCCCTTCAGGAGGGACGCATGTCTCACCCACAGACTCAGCATTCCTAAGCCTGGTCCGATAAGAGTGCCAGGTGTCCCAACATCACAGGAAACACCATGCTAGCACAGAAGGAGGGGAGGGGAGTCCTTGAAATTCTGTGTGTACTGTTTCCACTATCTGGAGACAGCCTTTGAAACTGTGTGCTCATCCCAAGGTCTGGAAAGGGGACAGAAAGGGGGTTCACAATGCCCAAAGGAAAAGCCCATAAAACAGCTTTGGTTAATTGCCTGACTCTGGTCACTATCTGTTTTACAAGGGGGTCACTAGTGCTTACAGAAAGAGCCCATAAATAACTCTGGGTAAGTGCCTCAACTTTAACTGACTGCCTCCTGTCTCATGTTCAAACCGGAAAAGCTGCATTTGTGCTGCCTGTCACCTACCAGACCCAACAAGCAGAGACAGGGATGGAATCTTTATGCACGCGTTACTCAGACAGCCGGCGATCTGAGAAGCCGGTGGGTTATGTATCCTAACAGACCACCTAAAATTTCATTTAAACTGACCCTTTTTACAAGGAGAAGAAAAGTATAGGTAAGGGGTTTGGAATTCCAGGGGAAAGTTAATCAGATAAAAACCGCAGCATTCCTTCATCGGTGTCGGCTGGCAGGGTGTCTCACCTGGAGGACAAGGGCTCAGATACCATCTTGATTGCTTGCCATCCTCCTGAGGCACAAAGGTGGGACTGCCTAGGTCTCCTGGAGTCGGGGTGGGTGTATCTTCAGTTCCTGGAACAATAGCTTTTATATGCATTGATTACTAAGCTTATTAGCTATTACCTAAACTAAAATTTTCCAGCTCTTGAGTCCCTCATCAGTATCTGTTTTACAGCAAGATAACCAAATGTGGTCTGGAGCCAGATGAGAATTCACGGAAACAGACCTCCACACATACCTGTGCTTAGGTAGTCACGTCCCCCCAGGGGAAGCTGGCACCACCTGTATCCACCAATCAATATGTAGCGGCAACCCCCTCCCCCTCACCCCATACAGCCCACTTTGTAAGTCCTCGAGACAAAGGACCTGATGTTTTTTTTGCTGCCCTTGCCTTTACCAATGCCTTTCTCCCCCACCTCGGCAAGCCTGTTCTCTTCCAGGAGAACTATCATTAATAAACTTTGCTTGCATGCTAATAGACTTGCTGATCTGTAATTCTGTACTGCATAGGCAAGAAGAACCAAGTTTTGTAGGCAAGAAGGATGGAGTTTTTTCCATAACAGTAACAAAACAATGAGGAGATGTGTGGTCTCAGTATGTGCCCAAGGGGTTTGGGAAAAGGGGAAGTCACGCTGACATTCCCTTGGATTCCACGTTGATTCCCGTGGAATCAACGACACATTATCATAGATGCAGAAAGACAGCAGACAGGTTCAGTTAAGATAAAGGCTGACTGTTTTTAGAGGAAAATGCCTGTGCAGGACTATCCACCGTGAACCGCTTTTGGTTAGTAAGTTTGGATTTCAGACCACCCCCTGCGATGACAGTAGGTCTCTGGGTGTGCAAGGCTGCCTCACAGGCCTCCCTGGAGCTTGTCAGGCTACTATGTGGCCCCCTTTCCCTTCTTTTATTTCTTTTTTTGTGTGGCCCTTTTCTTCCACATAATAATTTATTTAATCGACCTCTATTGGGGAGGGGCAGACTTTTATGTCACATGTGTCCGTCTTGCACAATATCCCTGAACAGATTGCTGTTTTGCATTTTCATGAGAAAAAGGAGTATGTCCTTAATGTGGTCACCTAAAAAGTAAAATTGCTGGGCTAAGGACCCACACTTTCAAAGGTTCTTCATATTGATTACTGGATGGGTGGTTGAAGACACGGGCTGTGAAACAATTCACAAAGAGAATAAAGAAAGTGCAGAGAGCCAGGTTTTTATTCGCTCTCCGAGAGAGGAGAGGGGCAAAGGGGGAGGGGTGCTGTTGTGTGGCCCCTGGGCTGTTGGGGGCGCTGTAACACAGGAGGTTGCTTTTGGGTGGTTTTGCAGCAGCTGCTGTTGGCTCCAGTGTTATCTTTTGCCTGAGGCTGTGGGGGGCGATTAGTCACATTCTGTTCCTGCTTTCACTGTTTCCCTGTCCAGGGGATGTAAGCGCAGAAGAGTAAGACGGCAGCCATGTTCAACAAGGTCACAGGCCTGCTCAGCAAACGGTGCCTCGGTAGCGAATGGCGCGGCTTGGTCCTTTCAATGACCGTGTTGTTCTTATAAAGGGAGGCACCAGTTTGGGCCCATTAGAAATGCCCAGCTCAGCACATTCTCCAAAGTAATGAGGGTTAATGTTTCCCTAAAAAATGGGGTGGGGTGGAGGGGAAGGTTCGCCAGTTCGATAGCCCGGTGTCTGTTACATCCTGGCGTGCTCCGCCAGATCCGCCTAGCCCGCTTCAGGCGCTGTGCGCGTGCGTTCTGTTGGGTGTCGCTGTGGCGCCGTGCCGGGGTCTCGGCCGTAGGGCCTGCGTCCGCCCTAGCGAAGGTCAGCGGGGAGGGGCGCAGCAAGCGGAGCCGAGTAGCACACAGGCTGTTGGTGGGAATGTAAGGAGGCCTGTGACCCACCAGAAGCGGGGTTGGGGGTGGGGTTTGTGGGTTTCGGTTTCTGTGCAAAGGAGCCAGGATTTGCCTGTGGGGAACTGGGAAACGTAAAAAAATAAGGTCGTTCTGCCCCTGCACACCAGTACAGCACTGCCTGGGGCCCCGTGACATTGTCTTTGAGGGCGGCAGAGTCTGCCATCCCTAAATACGCCTCTTTGCGATATTGATTATTTTAGGCTGGCCAATTTTAAGAAAGAGCAGACAAGGGAGAAGCTTTGCAAACCAAGGAGCAGGTATCCTTAGTAAAGGACATTTACATTTGTATGGGAGTCGCCCTCCGTAGAGCCGACTGCCTCCCCATGCTAGGCGGAGCTTCGCTATCAAAGGAGATGGCTTGGCCTCTTAAATCTGCATAAGGACCTCACCTTGTTTACCGCACTTTTCCCGGTCACCTACTGTAACTGACTCTGCACCTTCAACATCTTTGGTCTTCAGCTGAAGGTGGTATTTAAGGTGATTGCTAATGCCAGTTTTGGCGAGTTGTTGTTTTCGGGGGCCTCTCCCACGGGTCCAGGAGGTTTGCATGTTGTTCTGCTCACGTTAATTTGATTATTAGTCCAGCCAGCGGAACCTTGAAAGGTAGAGGATAGTCTTTCCTCCACCATAAGATTAATGAGATACGTGCATCTGGTCTTTGTCCTCAGTTCCAGACACAGAATTCCTAAAACCTTGAGAATTTCTTGAGTGATGGGGTGGGGGGGGCGCATCTTTTATTATTCATAGTAAGCCTTTTCTACCTTCCCTGGGTTTACCATAACCGGGTTCTTCTGGGGGAGGAAGGCTGGTTGCTTGGGAGACCAACCATGTGATTAGAGGGTTGGAATTTATAACCCCACCTCAGATCTGGTCAAAGGTGGGGGGGGGGCAGGGCGCCATTTCCAATGACCACTGATTTAACCAATCAAGCCTAGGTAACGGGACCTTCATAAAAACCCTAAACTACAGGACTGGAGAGCCTCTGGAGTGAACACATTCACAGGTGGAGGTTGATGCACCCCAACTCCACAGAGACAGAAGCTGCTGCGCTCAGGACTCGTCCCCAGCTGGCGGGGTGGACCTCTTCATCCCGCTGTGGTTTTGTAACTTTATTGTATCCTTTGTAATAAACTGGGAATAGTAAGTGGAGTGTTTCTCTGAGTTCTGTGAGCTGTTATAGCAAATTACCAAACCTGAGGAGGGCCTCATGGGAGCCCCTGATCTGTAGCCAAGTTGGACAGAAGTGTGGAAGCCTGGGGACCCATCACTGCAGTCGGCTGCTCAAGTGGGGCAGTCTTGTGGGGCTGAGTGCTTCACCTGTGGGCACTGCCCCCAGGTATATGGCGTCCAAACTGAATTGAATAGTAGGACACCCAGCCCGTCTCTCAGAATTGGCTGGTGTGAAAAAAACAAACATTTGGTGTCAGAAATATCTTGAATATCAAACAGTTTTCTTCTAGGCCCCTTTGTTCTTTTAGGGAAAATCCCCCAACACTTGCACGGGGTTAGAGTAGATTCACAAACTGAGCATCCAGTAGCTCCCCAACCCTGGAGTGAGTTCCGCAGCACCGCCCTGGGGCTCTGGGCCCTGGGCGGCAGCTGAGCTGGTCCTAGTCAGCAGGAAAGTGAGTTAGCTCTGGGCTTTTGGATAGTTATGCAGATCCACACCAGAAAGCCTCGTAAGTGGGAGGAAAGGGGACTCATCTCCTGCAGCTCCCACAGTAACGTTTCAGGAGGAGCCTGCCTGGGCCTCACCAAACCCTCTCCCAGGAGCAGCACGGGCACCCCCTCTTCCTGGGGGCCGCCCCAGGGAGGCAGGGGCACAGGCTCACCCCCTTCAGCAACGTTTGTGCTCTTTATTGCAGACGAAGCAGTTCTCGCTTTCCTATGGCGCTAAGGACTTGCAGGCCTCCCTCAGGGCTCAGCAACTTTTCTGAGTGTCCTGGAGGGAAGTGGACATCGAAGTGCTGTACCCTGACCCCTGGCCTCCCATGCTCCTCTTCTGTGCAGTCTGTCCCGGGCATCTCCCAGGGGTGCCTTCGCTGGCCGGTACTCTGCCTGCACTTGGCATGGCCTGGGGAGCAGGCCTAGGTAGTGAGTGTCCTGGGAAGTCCTGCTTGTTTTCCTTAAGCATACCCTGAGAGATTCTCCTCCCATGCCCAGGGCCTTTGGCAAGAAATTCCTACCTCCTTCACGCAGCCCCTCCTCAAAGAGGCAAGGAAGAGATTCTGAATGGGCAATACATGTTATTTTCTTTTATTGAAATTATTTCTAGCTGGATAAAGTTAGTAAAAATTCAAAAGAAATACAACAAAGTAGTGATTTTCCTTCTAGTGAGTCACCTTAGAGTTTGTATACAAAGGATTATAAAACAAGGAACATTGAGCAATATATAATTCAGGTCAATATGTAATTCAGTTATTAAAAAATCATAACTCAGACAGCAAAGATGCCCTCGTTAAAAAAGGATGTGGTGCTGAATTTGTAAAATTCTAAACAGTGATGTTCCTGATGGAGCATCTGAAATACAAGTGTGCTCACCCTTATTCTTTTTTTCTTTTTTTTGTAAAGATTTTATTCATTTATTTCAAGAGGGAGGGGGAGGGAGAGAGAAAGAGAAACTTCGGAGTATACGCCCTGCCCAGGGACCAAATCCACAACCCAGGCTCGTGCCCTGACTGGGAATCAAACCCGTGACCCTTCGCTTTGCAGTGTGACGCCCAACCAACTGAGCCACACCAGTCACGGCTGATTCTTCATCATAGGTGTTTCATCTGTGAGCCACCCCTTCCCTGCAGGGCACATACCAAAGGCTTGGCTCACATAGAGTCTGTAAACAGTGCAAGGAGCTGTAAAACTCTGAAGTCAGATGTAAGTCGATAAGCTACTCAGATAAGCAGAATCAAGTATGTCAACTAAAAAGCTCACAAATGGTTACTGTGGGCTTTATTTAAATAAAGTAACCCTGCTGTAATAATTATTTCACCTCAGGAGGCCTCATGGGTCTTTCTTTTAAAGAAATGGCTGTTATGTCTGCAGTGTAGACTCCTGTATCAAGTGCATCTCGAATGCACAGACCACTGTTCTCACGAAAAATCACTCTCCGTTCTCCTTTACAGAGTCGCTCGGTGTTGGCACGGAGGGCAGTGTAACCTGCAGCCATAGTTAGTGAAACCGGAGCAAGGCCCCTGGGCGGAGCAGGTGGCCTGCTGGCCGGGGGGCCCACCAGCCCTGCCCCTGCCGGGTGTCGGCCGGCACTCTGTGTGCGGCTTCTCTGAGGCTGCCGTCTGGAGGAGATTCTGATCGTTTTTTCCACCACTTAAAATAATACCGCTCAGTGAGTTCTCCAGTGGACCTTCTGGTCTATTTAAAAATAGCAACGAAAACCTACTGCTTCTTATTTTAAAAAAGGAACACCCAGTAAATATAATATTTTTATCCCTTCTGTTGGCCATCAAGTTCTTTGCCAAACATTGCTTCAAATCCTTTGTGAAACCAAGTGCGTATAAAATAAATAAATAAATAAATAAATAAATAAACAAGGTGGTGCCTTGCCAGGTGCCGTAACAGGAACTCACCTTCCCAGCCCCTGCAAAGACACTCCTGGGTGTGAGCAGGTGTGGGCGGTGGGAACGAAAATGGCCCTGCCATCTGTGGCCCTTTGCTGGGACCCTGAGTATTTGTCTCATGAGCCTCCTGGGGTTTGCAGCCCTGAGAAGCCAATCCCAAGTCTAGACGTGGCCTTCCCCTGGGGATAGGGACACCTTGGCCCTCCAGGCCTCTGCCTCTGAGGGGATGGGTACCCCAACTCCCAGGGGAGGTGGAATGACACTAGAGCCAGTGGCCTTGGGCCTGTCCTTTGCCAGCCCTCAACGCCAAGTAAGATACAAAAGGCGGCGAGGGAGGCACCTCCCCCATGCTTCCCCACCCGGAAGCCAGGGTCCTCATCCAGGAGTCCAGACACTGGGCATGCGGCAGCGCGGTCCATGCAGGTAACTGTCCCTCACACCGACCCCTGCTGACAACTAGCAAACCAGGCAGACGCCTCACGGGAGAACTGCCGCTACCTCACACAGGAGCACCCCAAGATGCCCTCTGAGGGGTGACTGAGGGAGACCCAGCGCCTCAGTCCAGGATCAGCCCATTCTGGGAGCTCCCGTGGGGCACTCAGGCTCACCTGACACTGTAGCTGAGAAGCTTCCAGTCTGTCAGATTTAAAATGAATTGCCTGATTGGAGAGAGGTTGTCAGGTAACGAGCCCCACCCCTGGGCACAGCATGGCCAGCGTGTATGGGCCTCGTGCTGCCTGTTCCTCCCAGCTTGAAGCTCAGTGCTGCTTTGGCCGCCGCACGCTGACCTGTCCTGAGAGGACACGGCGGTGGCCTGGACCTCCCCATGGGTAGGCGAAAACTGGCAAATGCAGCTCTTACCAAGCACCCAATCAAAGCTTAATTTAAAACAAAAAGACAAACCCTCCTCTAAATGAGAGTCCAAGTCAGAAAATAAAGGCGATTACAGCTCACGTCAAGGAAGCTATTCCCAGATGAATAGAGGTTTTCTCAGCTGAAAAGGTAGCCAACATCAAGAAATCTTCAAAAAACAGAAATCCGTCTTCTGCAAGAGCATATCATCAAGAACAGAGTGTGCTGGGCAGTGGGGAGTCACATCAGCTTCTTCCAAAAACCCGAAGCCCCAGTATGGCCACAGAGCAACTGAGACGCACACGCCTTAGGTTTTCAAAGACCACTTCACAGCCCCCGCGAGGGCATGCTCCGTAACACAGATCTTAAAACTGTACACCAGATGTGACTCTAAGGGTGTCTGTGCTGTAGAAACAATAGCTGAGGGGAGTGTTTGGAGAGAAAACAGTCCCAGGTAGTAACAAAACTTATCTTGAGGTAATGTGATTATCAGTGATTTTTATTTCCTTCCTGATACTGTTATAGAACATGCAAATATTCTAGATCAAAAAGGCGTCATCTTAGTGACTAAAAGTACATTAGAATAATGTAACGTCCCAGGCAGTGGCAGAAAACGCTTGTGTGCTCTTCAGGGGAGTAGCAGCGGGACAAGAAAGCGTCTCAGTCATGACCTGTGGTGTCTCAACAGGACTCCGAGACCCCGTGGAGGCTACTGTGAGGACCGTGAAAGACACAGACTGCGCGACACTTTATTTTCCTCACCACACCTGTTTCTCAACAAAAGCTTCCTCAGCCTTGCGCACCTGGAAACACAGCGCTCAAAGACCTTTTGATCTCTCCTCACCTTTTCCGTAATTGACTCAGGCATTTCCGTGGTCTGTTCTGCTCCAGCCCAGATGGCCCTGGACACAGGCCTTCCTAAGCAGGGACAGGACGTGCCAGAGCCCGGGTCCCAAAGTCCTAACTCCATCTTCCTAACCATCATCAAGGTCAAGTAGAAATCAGGGACCGAGGCCACCCTCCTGGGAGTCCATGCGGCAGACTTAGCCCTCACTCCAGAATGTGTCGGGACGATTGGGGTTGGGTGTCTGCATCTGTGTCAGGGGCCCTGACTCCAGGCACACTGTGGGTAGCTCACCTGCCTGAGTCACGTGGAGGGGGCCGCGCTGGCTGTGTCTGCATGAGGCAGGGCCTGCAGGCCGAGGCCGGCCACAGGCAGGCCTGCTGATGACCCACAAGGAGAGAGGTGCCCGCAAAGACAGAAGCTGGCGGAGTCCTCTGGGAGGAGACAGGATAGACACACACGGAGTTCAGCACCAAACCTTTGAGTGCTAAAGACAACGCTGTTCTGTGAAAAGGTAGAAGCTGTGCTCGAAGGAACTCCAAGCACTGATGCCTCAAATAAAATAAGGAACGGATCCATAGGAGACAAAGGCCGGGTGTGCCTGGCACACTCCTCGTTCCCACTGTTCAGAGCTCCCGAGGAGAAGCCCCACCTGCACTAGGGAAATGGTGCAGAGCTCCACAACATGCGTGGGCCAGAGGGGCCTTAGGTACGGGACTTCGACCCTCCTGGGGTCAGTGACTGCAGGAGTGAAAGGACGGCACCAAACAGGGGGCCCGGTTGAAGCTGTGCCCCTGGGGAGGTGGGAAACCCATCCACAACCTGAGCGGAGACTGAGGGGTCAGACGTGCCGGTGGTTCGGAAGCTGCGGGGCTTCACTTTGGAAGCTTGTCTGCGTCGTTTGTCCTGACAATTTTTGTCCTAAAGGACAAATCAAAGGACTTCTGGTCTTTGAAGCTTTGGGCTTTGTACTTTGCAAGGTGTGCTGACTTTCTCTGATGTTCGAGGCCCAGTGTGCCTCTTCCTGCCCCAGAGGTGTCTGCGGGCCCTGTCTGGGCGGAGGCACTGGGAGCCTGGCAGCACCCAGGCTCAGGTGTGGGCGCTGCAGAACCTTGTCCTGGGTCAGGGCAGGAGGGTGTCTGGCTCTGGGCTGCCTCACGATGGTGTGCTCCCTCCTTCGGTGGCACTTCAGGTGTCCCCTGGACACCCCTGGGGGCTGGCCTCTGAGACTGCCCACTTGCCGCTGCTGGGGAGGTGCCTGTGGGCTTCACTGAGCTGTGGGGTGCCGTCCTTCTGGCCTGGGCTCCTGCCAGGCACCCCAGCCTCTCTGGGTGGGAAGGTGCTTGGCTGTCTTCAGCGTGGCTGACACAGTGTTGCTCCGAGGGCTTCCCTGCAGTCCACACCCGCTGCCCTGGGGGGTGTTCTGGACCTTTCTCAGTGTGTCGGCAGGGAGCTTCCACTTCGGTGGTCACGGTCACAGTGGTACTCCCCATGATGTCATCCCTGGGCTGTGTCTGAGCCCCCTCAGAGCCACACAGTGAGGTCTTCTGGCTTGAAGAGGGTGCTTCCTTCCATCCAGGACCCTTCAGCCCCACAGTGCCTGAGACCCCCTCCTCTGCACCCCTCAGGCCTGCCCGTGGCCCTGGCCTCTCCTCAAGCTTGGTTTTCTCTGGGTCTGAAGGAGCCACTCCCTTCCACCCCACAGTGCCTGAGACCCCCTCCTCTGCACCCCCCAGGCCCGCCTGTGGCCCTGGCCTCTCCCCAAGCTTGATTTTCTCTGGGTCTGAAGGAGTCACTCCCTTCTGCCCAGGACCCTTCGTCCCCACAGTGCCTGAGACCCCCTCCTCTGCACCCCCCAGGCCTGCCCGTGGCCCTGGCCTCTCCTCAAGCTTGATTTTCTCTGGGTCTGAAGGAGTCACTCCCTTGGGCCCCACAGTGCCTGAGACCCCCTCCTCTGCACCCCCCATGCCTGCCTGTGGCCCTGGCCTCTCCTCAAGCTTGATTTTCTCTGCGTCTGAAGGAGTCACTTCCTTCTGCCCAGGACCTTTCAGCCCCACAGTGCCTGAGACCACCTCCTCTGCACCCCCCAGGCCCGCCTGTGGCCCTGGCCTCTCCCCAAGCTTGATTTTCTCTGGGTCTGAAGGAGTCACTTCCTTCTGCCCAGGACCCTTTGGCCCCACAGTGCCTGAGACCCCCTCCTCTGCACCCCCCAGGCCTGCCCGTGGCCCTGGCCTCTCCTCAAGCTTGGTTTTCTCTGGGTCTGAAGGAGTCACTCCCTTCTGCCCAGGACCCTTCAGCCCCACAGTGCCTGAGACCCCCTCCTCTGCACTCCCCAGGCCTGCCCGTGGCCCTGGCCTCTCCTCAAGCTTGATTTTCTCTGGGTCTGAAGGAGTCACTCCCTTGGGCCCCACAGTGCCTGAGACCCCCTCCTCTCTACCCCCCATGCCTGCCTGTGGCCCTGGCCTCTCCTCAAGCTTGATTTTCTCTGCGTCTGAAGGAGTCACTTCCTTCTGCCCAGGACCCTTCGGCCCCACAGTGCCTGAGACCCCCTCCTCTGCACCCCCCAGGCCTGCCCGTGGCCCTGGCCTCTCCTCAAGCTTGATTTTCTCTGGGTCTGAAGTAGTCACTCCCTTCTGCCCAGGACCCTTTGGCCCCACAGTGCCTGAGACCCCCTCCTCTACACCCCCCAGACCTGCCCGTGGCCCCAGCCTCTCCCTGACCTCTGTTTCCTCCAGGACACCTGCCTGTGTGGGGGATGCAGGCAGCAAGTCAGGACACCTTTGGGGTGCCTCGATCACCTGCTGCTCCACTGTTGATGGCACAGAGGGATGCTGATGGGGAACCCCAGCACCGACAGGAAGCAGCTTTTCAGACATGATCTGCTTCTCATCCTTAGCCTGTTGCTTCCCAGAAGACGATGGCAGCTTCTCCTCATTGTGGCAGGGAGCCCTCTCTACACCGCCTCCCTGTGGCGTGGGGTGATTTGAGGTTGGAACTGGGGACTTTGTGCTATTCCCCTGAGGACCTGCTTTCACAGGTGCAGTACTTCTGCCTCCTACCGTGGCGTTCCCTTTGCTTGCTGCCAGTTTATGCGAAAGCCCCACACCGGGTTCATCAGGTATGAGTGGGGGGCCAGCGGCCTCCTGTAGGAGAGTGGTCATTGACTCTGAGGTCACAGGCAGGTGCTGCCCTAAGTCTTTGCAGACGTGGCCCTCGGTGGCTCTGCTGCTGGGATGCTTCAGGATCCCATCTGGTGACAAGGAGAGGGAGCTGGTGGGTTCATGACCAAGATCCTCTGCTACAAGACTGTGTCCTATTGGTGAGGAGCTGAATTCTCCCTTGTGCAAAGTGCCCCACTTTTCAGCGGCACTGTTTTCAGGGTTCACAGCAGTACCTGGTGCTGGTGCTGTGTGACTCTTAGTGACCTCTGTAGCCATCCCCCTCCCGGCGGCTTTGATTCTTGGCTTGGGGCCATCGTTTAAGGAGGCCGGTCTGTTCTCCCGAAGATCATGGCTGGAGCTCCCATCAGCCACCAGTAGGGGCTGGGTGGACTCAGTTAGCGGTGGCCGCCCGCATTGTTCTTGCTCATGCAGGACGGTCTTATCCGCTGCGGTCACATGCTCAGACTTTGTCCAGTCCTTGGTCGGTGCCGCCAGCAGTGCTGGGATGTCTGCTGAGTCTCCCTCTTTGGGAGGTGGCCCTTGGTGAGTGCCAGGGGCACAGCGGCTGTTTCCTCTAAGGCGATTTTCTAAAACCGTGGGATGAAGGGATGGGGTGCCCTCATCACAGATGGGCATTTCCTCTGCTTCTGGCAGGTGATGCTTCTCATAACGGAGCTCAGGAACATCCTCTCCCGAAATGTTCTGGTGATTCTTGAGTTTGTTTGAATTCCCAAAGCTGCCTCGGTCTTTCTTTCCTCCAGTGGGGCTGGCCTGTAGTCTCAGCATTGGGGCTGCCTCTGGGATGTCACGACCAACGTTGGCAGCACCCCCTGGAGGTGTGAGACTTAGGTCTGCCTGGGAGTCCTGCTGAGAAGGGGTGCTGAGTCCCCCACGCACCCCTGCAGACGTGCTGACTCCTGTCATGGGCGTGTTGGTGTTTTTAGTCTCTGTCGTAGTGGGAAAGAGCACTTCTGCGCTTTCAAACACACTTTCTCCTCCTAGCACGCGAGATCGTGGGCCTTCACGATCTGATGCTTTTTGTGGCGTGACAGGAAGGAGTGGCATTTGGTGGACAGCTGGGAGTTTGACGGTTACCTGCGGAGGCTCGAAGGCCAACTGTGTGCGCCGGGCAGCCTGGGCTACGGGCATGCTGAGCGGTGGGATGTGTTCTGGAACTTTCTGTTCTGGGAAATTCTCCTGGACAGCAAAGAGAGGGTCTTGCTCTGAGTCTGAAATCACTCTTTCCATTTCGTCCTCTGAACTGCAAACCATCAGGTCTACTTGAGGGGCCTTCTCTGCTCCCTCACCTGTGGGTGCAGGATGGGGCCCTGCTCTTGCCTCCTTTGCCCCCTGGGGATCACCTGTGGTGCTCCCTGCCGGGGAGTCCCCCACCCTGTCACCTCCTGACACTGCAGGGTGCCCTGGGTTGGCTGGGCCGAGTGAGGATAACTTGGGTTCCAGGCCAGGAAGGGTGTCACCCCTTTGGGAGGCAGGCAAGATGGCTGGCTCCGGGATGTACTCAGGCCCCGCATGGGGGGACACTGTTTTCAGGCTGGGAGGCACAGCCTGCAGTATCAGGGGCTGCGCAGGCCCCCCCTGAAGCAGTTCCTTTCCTGGTGTTTTGTTCCCACCAGGCACCATCTCCCCCGCATTGGGGGGCCTGCCTGTTTCTTTCGGGGGCATGCGCCTCAGGTCCGAGTGTCTGATCTTGGCGCAGTGGGACAGCCAGCTCCTGGGGCCGCAGACGATGGTGGCGATGCTGAAGGGCAGCATGGGCTCCGCCGAGCAGGCCAGAAAGTGGGCCGGGGGCATCCTGATGCAGGTGCTGGCCAGGGTGGCCGTGCAGAGCAGTCGGGCCTCAGACCGGTGCATCTTCTTCCTCTGCAGGTTCTTCTTCTTCCGCTCTTCTGTGTGGACCAGGAGCACGCTGGCCTCGGAGCAAAGACAGCCGCTCTGTTCAAACTTCTCCCGCAGTTTGGATAGGACCGAGCTCTTCTTGCCCACGATCTTTGGCAGAAGGCCCCTGGCAGTTTTGGGTCGCTCGGCAGGAGGCTTCTCACGAAGCCTCTTCTCCTCAGCCTCCTTCTCCTCGGCGGCCAAGAACTTCTTCAGAATATTCTTCACAGTGTTTTTTCCGGTGGGCAGGCCCCACCGGGGTTTGTCACCACAGGGGGGCTCCTGGCCCCGTGCCGGGCCGCTGGCCCCTTCCCTGGTCTTCTCCATGAGCTTGTTGATGGTGGCAGTTACCAAGCTCTTGCCTGGGCCTTGTTTGTCCTTGAAGATCAGCCTTCCCACCTCCCGGGTCTTCTTGAGGCAGGGCTCCCGGCCGGTGCCCATGAACTTGGCCTGCAGGAGCTGGAAACGTGTGGGCCTCCGGTTGGCATCTTGGGGCTCAGGCTTTCGGCTCACCGGGCTGTCCCTACCCTCTGCCCTGTTAGTGGGCGGCAGTCCCTGGGGCCCGTCTGTATGGTTGGTGATGTAGAGCAGCAGGCTGCTGAGGATGGCTCGGACCGCTGGGTTGCAGGTCACCTTGCTGACCTTCTTTTTCAGAGCTTGGGCATCAACGGGTGGCTTATCGTTGCAAACCCTGGCCCTCTTGGGGCTGTGGGAAAAAGAAACAATTGTCAGAGATATTGCTATCGTTTTTCCCATGGTCACTCCATAGAACAGTTCTTACAAAACAATCTTATTTTCAACACCCAAGAAGTCCAGGAGGAAGAACAGAAGAGGGGGCGCCAAAAAGCTTGCGTTCTAGTGCATGTCCACCGATAACTCAGAGATGCCGGGGCTCCCTGTGCCTCTCTGGTCACTGTTCCTTTTTCTGTTAAATAGCAATCGTTTCTGACTTAATATCCTCCTGACGGCTTTGGATGGTTGACATTATACAGTTTTCTGAAAGCGGCTTGGAAAACCACTCTGCATGTGAACGGCATTTAATGTTTCTATAACGGACAATATTATACTTGTATACATGGGGGGAAGCGAGCATAAAGAATTCATATTCTCTCTGTGGGTCTGTGCATGCCTCTAAGTGTAAGTACAGAAGTGACATTAACGTCGCAGTTGTATCCTGACTCAGTCCCAGGCAGAGCCTGTGAGTGATCAGTCAGACCGCCGGCCTTGGGTCAGTACGAGGGCACTGAGCTTTGGGGTGGGAGTCGCTGGGGTAGAACACCGCTGGGGCAGGGAGTGTGTGGTGGACCCCGGGGCAGGAAGGAGTGGGCTTTCTGCAGAGTGCATGGGAAGAGAGCTGCGCCACCACTGGGACCTGCCTTCCCAACCCCCTTTGGAAACTCTCCCAGAAACACCCTGAGGCTGAGGAAGGCCTGAGCCATCAGCTCAAACTGCTCTATCTTGGTGAGACCCTAACAGTAAGGCAACCAAGATTTTTTCACCCTAGGCCAGCTACTGACAGGCCAGGACCTCGCTGCACTCCTGGGGGTGGGTGGGGTCCCTGATATATCAAGGGGATTCTCAACTCAGCACCCAGCCTAAGAAGCTCTCCGCTGAGCCGCCTGGCGCTGAGTCTGTCAACCACATTGTCTAAGCCAGAGTGTTCTTCCTGGTGGGTCAGAACCACCTCCAGCCTCCCCAGGTGGTAGCTTTGTCAAGTTGCACCCAATTTATGGCCTTGCTATCGCACATTCTAGTTGTTCTTTCCAAGGAGAGGGTTGGGATGGAGGGAAGGAAAGTCTTCACAACACTATTATAGTATTAAAACTTTGGAACTGTCCTAAATGTCCCAAGCCTGCTCAAATAACAGCACATCTGTATTTGTGGGAAAATAGCCTGGTACAGGACAGTGACCCTGACGTAACGTTAGAAGTGCAGGAAGCGGCAAAGCTGAATGCAGACTTCGGCCCAACTATGTTCTTAAGAAATTGCTCAGGCAGACTCACACAGACTAAAAACAGACTGGAAGGAAATATACAAACATATTTTTGTTGAACTTCTATGGATTTTTCCGAAAAAGAGAGTTCTGTTTTTAAAAGCCACATACAAATATCCTTGCAAAAAGCCGTTCTGATCACTGTGCGCCTGTGTGATGGGGGAGCACCAGCAGCCCTCCCCTCAATGGTGCCCCCCACAGGACACAGGTCATTCATCCCGTGGCAGTCTGGCCCCGCCCACTGGGTGAGCCCACACCATCACCCGATGCCTGGGAATGGATTTCAATACAGAGAATTTCAAGAGAACTGCAAAAGTAACCTTGGAGTCCTGCCTTCCTTGGCTCCCTGAGAACTTCAAATGCACCTCCACGCAGTGAATCACACAGAAAGGGGCTGCTTTAGTTATTATTCTCAGACACCAGAGGACATCAGAACACAGAGGGGACTCATTGAAACCCAGGGCGCTGGTCTACAGTTTCTGACTCAGTCTGTCTTTTGTTTGCATTTCAAACAAGTTCCCTGATTGGCCAATGCCACTGCTCAACCTCGGGCCGCTGTGGACTTTGGGAACCGAAGGCATGGGTTAGGCTCCTAACCCAGAACCAGTATCTGAATCCACTCTTAAGCCATGATGTGGTGCAAGCCAGCACGGCCGGGAAATGGCAACTGCAAAGAAATCCCAGGGGCACGGGTGCCCTCCAGCACCACCAACGCTGAGTGGCTTGCTGTTCACTGAGAACTGGCAGGAGGAGCAAGCCCCCCTGGGAAGATGCCAGCCTGTGTCCTGGAAACCGGCAAGCCCACCCAGGACATACACAGGTTCTGGGCCAGCATCAGGGATTAGGGGAGACAGCTGAGCAGGCCAATTTCCATGTTGTCGTACCAGCCTCTGGTGCCCTGTGCTCTATTTGAGAAGGTTGGCGTCACACCTCACCCATCTGTGGTACCTGCATCATCGCTGAAATGCCCACTTTCCCTGAACCTCCAGCAGCCTACAGGGACAGCCTCTCTCCCTTAGGATTAGGTCCCTCACCAAAGCTGCATCAGATTACCAGAGACCTCCTATCTCCAGAGAAGGCAGGTTGTCCGCAGCCAACACCAGGGATTCAGTAATCCGGGCCACAGTCTCTCATGGGGCTTCCTCCAGAGCCCTCAAAATGTCTCTCCCAAATGTTCAAAGGCAGCGTGAAGGAGACTTGGCCCGGACCCCACAGGGATGGTGAGGAGGTGGGGGCTGGTCCCTGTGGTGAGCGCTGGGGGTGTTGGGAGAAAGTGCTGCTCAACGCAGGTGCTCCAGCCTGACAGTTGTGATCGGTGGCCTCTTGGCCTCGCGGGTAGCTTGGCTGGCTGGTGGCATTTTTTATTTCCGAGAGGCGTATCTCTGGGTGGCCTCAATAGAATTCATCGTGATGCCCCATTGTTAACTTCTCTGGGCACTTGTCCAGTGCCTGATGGTGAGCTCTCCTGCTCTTCTCCCTGGCTTATCTCGTTGTGTCTTGTTATCTCTTAGGCATGGTTGTTACCCCTTCCACGTCGGAGAAATCTAACTGTGGAGATATTCGGTGACTTGTTGGAGATCACGAGGCTGACTAAGCACAGAACTGGGATGTGGTCAGTGTCCAGCTTCATGGAACATTGTGGGGGTCGCCCCTGTGGACTGCCCAGAGCTCAGTGACTGACTGGACACCTGGGGTCTCACAGGCACATCACATGTGACTGAACTCACCTCTGGCTCCCCAAATCTCTCCTCCTATTTTCTGTGCCTTGGCAATTGGCACCTGCAATCCTATGGCCTGAGGGTGGGAGGTACCTGTTTCTGCCACCCTCACCAAGGACACAAAAACCTCTTCCACTTGCTCCCACTCTGCTCTTGGCCGCTACTTTCTCTGCATCACACCAGTGAAGGTCGCTTCCACACAGCAGCCTCCACTGTTCTCAGAATTGAGTAAGAACTTCTGCCAGCGAGCCCTGCAGGACCCAAGCCTCCCTTTGTGCCGACTCGTTTACTGCGCTGAGCCGCCCCATTCTGCTCTCTCCCAAGTGCTCTTCTTTTTTTTCTTTTTTCCTTTTTGTCACATTTTTTTATCACCATTTATTTCCCTTATCCCCCTCCCCGCCCTGAAATCACCACACTGTTGTCCATGTCCTTTTTTCTTGATACCCCCACCCCCGAACCCCGCCCCCCAGCTGTCAGTTTGATCTCTCTCTGAGTCCATCTCTATTTGGTTTGTTAGTTCAGTTTGTCCATTAGATTCCACGTATGAGTGAAATCATTTGGTATCTGCCTTTCTCTTACTGGCTTATTTCACTTAGCATAATGCCCTCCAGGTCCATCTGTGTTGACACAAAGGGTAAAATTTCCTTCTTTTTTACAGTTGAGTAGTAGTCGATTTTGTAAATGTTCCATAGTTGTTTCATTCACTCATCTACTGATGGACACTTGGGCTGCTTCCAGATCTTGGTGATTGTAAATAACACTGCAATGGACATAGGGATGCTCGTGTTTTTCTGAATTAGTGTTTTGGAGTTTCTTCAGGTAAATTCACAGAAGTGGAATGGCTAGGTCATAAAGCAGTTCCTTTTATAATTTTTTGAGGTATCTCCATACTGCTTTCCACAGTGGCTGCATCAGTCTGCATTCCCACCAACAGTGCAAAAGGGTTCCCTTTTCTCCACATCCTTGCCTGCACTTGCTTGTTCAATTATTGATGATAGCCATTCTGACAGGTGTGAGTTGATGTCTCACTGTGGTTTTAATTTCCATTCCTCTGATGATTGGTGACATTGAGCATCTTTTCATATATCTCTTGGCCATTTGTATGTCCTCTTTGGAGAAGTGTCTATTCAGGTCCTTTGCCTGTTTTTAATTGGATTATTTGTTTATTTTGGCATTGAGTTCTTTATAAATTTTGGATATTAACCCCTTATCAGATGTATTGGCAAATATATTCTCCTATTCTGTGTGTTGTCTTTTTATTTTGTTGATGGTTTCTTTTGTTGTACAAAAACTTTTTAGTTTGATGTAGTCCCATTTGTTTATTTTTCTTTTTATTTCTTTTGCCTGGGGAGATATATCAGATAAAACATTGCTATGAGCAAAGTCTGAGATTTTACTGCCTATATTTTCTTTTAGGATTTTAATGGTTTTGTGTCTAACATTTAACTCTACAATCCATTTTGAATTTATTCTTGAATGTGACGTAAGAAGGTGGTCTAGTTTCTTTTTTTAAATTATTTTTAAAATTTATTTTTAGAGAGAGGGGAAGGGAAGAAGAAAGAGAGGAAGAGAAACATCATTGTGGTTGCCTCTCACATGGTCCCCACTAGGGACCTGGCCTGCAACCCAGGCACGTGCCCTGACTGGGAATCAAACCGGTGACCCTCTGGTTTGTGGCCCACGCTAAATCCACTGAGCCACACCAGCCAGGGCTAGTTTCTTGTTTTAAGTATATTTTATTGATTATGTTATTTCAGTTGTCCCAGTTTTTTTCTTCCCTTTATCCCACCCTCTGCCCCACATCCCCCTACCCTCCAGCACTCTTCCCACCACTTTGTTCATTTCTATGGGTTGTACATGTAAGTTTTTTGGCTTCTGTATTTTCTTTACTATTCTTAACTCCCCCCGCCCCCATCTGTTTTGTACCTACCAATTACGCTTCTTATTCCCTGAACATTTTCCCCGTTCTCCCCCTGCCCAATGATAACCCTCCAG